AAGAAACTATGAAATGGACCATGGTGTAACAGATATTGTTGAAAACAACCTTGAAGAATTACAAAATAAGGATACAGTAGTTGCTCCTGAAGTTCAACATGCTGAAGAAATTGACAAGGATGAGCAGTTTGATAGTACATGTAACACCATATTTCATGGCTGCTTCAACCCTAAAGAAATTGGCCATGATTATGATTTAGGGCTTGACTTAGGCATTTCAAGAAAGCAAATAGATCAATGTGAAACAAAAGTTAAATCAATGAGTCATGATGAGTATTTGAAATTAGTAAGATCTCTGAATGATAAGCAGAAAATCTTCTTTTACCATGTTCTGCACAAAATCAAAAGTGAAGAATTGCCTTTCTATTGCTTCTTAACTGGTGGTGCTGGTGTTGGAAAAAGTGTCTTGACTACTGCCCTTTTCCAAGCAATAACACGGTATTATGTTAAGTGTTTATCTGAAAGCCCAGATGAAGTGAAAGCAGTTCTGTGTGCACCAACAGGGAAAGCTGCACACAATATAGGTGGCCACACAATACATTCTTTGTTTTGTATCCCAGCCAATCAGAGCTTGAATTACAAACCCTTAGATGTACAGCAATTGGACTCCTTCAGAGTGAAATTTCGATCTTTAAAAGTCATTTTTATTGATGAGATATCTATGGTTGGCAACAAAATGTTTAATTACATCAATTTAAGACTTCAAGAGATTTTTGCAACAGACAGACCATTTGGTGGTGTGAGCATTATTGCTATTGGGGATTTGTTTCAATTAAAACCAGTCTTTGACGGTTGGATATTTCTACAAATAAAGGATGGATATGGACCTTTGGCCATTAATCTCTGGCAAGAATTCTTCCAGATGTTTGAATTGACAGAAATCATGCGACAGAAAGATGATAAGGAGTTTGCAAAACTTCTAAACAGATTGAGAGAAGGATTGCACACAAATGAAGACCTTGCAAAATTGAAAATGAGAATATTTGAAACAAATACTGGGTTAAATGTTTCATCAGCCCCACATTTGTTTACCATAAATTCACAAGTTGATATGCATAACATGGAAGCATTTGAAAATGCAGATGAAACCAAAAAAAGTGCAATTCCTGCCTTAGATTGTATTTCAGGTGACATAAATGAAGCAATTAAGGATAAGATAATACGAAAAATACCTGATGATCCGACAAGAACAATGGGGTTATTCAAAATCCTGTATATCGTTGAAGACCTTGCTGCTGAGATCTGTGTAAATATTGACGTTGATGATGGCCTCACCAATGGAACTGTATGCATTGTCAAGAAGTTGGATTTTAGAGTTAAAAATTCAAATCGCTGCAGCATTATATGGGTTGAATTTGAAGATGACAGCATAGGAAGTAATGCCCGTCGGAAATATACGCATTTGTATACCCAACATTGCTGTTTGAAATGGACTCCAATTCTAGAAATAACTCGTAAATTCACTGTTGGTCAGCATAAAGGAGCATATGCAATTCGACGGCAGTTTCCACTTCGTTTAGCTTGTGCTAAAACTATTCACAAATCACAAGGCTCAACAATGGAAAAAGCTGTCTTGCACTTTGGAAAGTACAAAAGAGAGCATATGCATTATGTTGGGTTAAGTCGCGTGAAGAAAATAGAAAACATACACATCTTAGAATTGAATGAGAAAAAAATATGTGTGTCCAGGGATGTTATTCAGGAAATGAAAAGACTGCGTTCAGATGCAATTTTGAAATCTTGTGTGCCAATCTTAGGAAATATTCCTGAAAATCTAAAAGTAGTCTTTCACAACTCTAGGTCACTTCATTTGCACATTGAAGATCTCAAACGAGAGAGCAACTTACTAGCAAGTGACATTATTGCCATAGCTGAAAGTAGATTGAACAGTTCAGATAACAATTCTGATTATGAGATAGAAGGTTTCAGATTACATAGATTTGACAGTATACATATTAACAGTACTCAGAGGCCTTGTAGAGGTATTGTTCTATACACAAAGGTAGCATTCTCAAAGGTTCAAAGACTGGTCTTGTGTCAGGATGTGGAAAGTGTTCTTGCAAGTTTCTATCATTGTGATATTTTGCACCAAGTTGTTTTCCTTTATTGTTGTCCTCAAAAAACCACGCAAGGAAATTTGTGCAGATTGTTATGTGAAATGCTCAAACATTTAGACTGTAGTAAACCTATCATTATAATGGGGGATACTAATGTGGACTTTCTCACTCAAGTTCAATTAAGCCAATTTGTTCAAAGAAACAATCTAAAACAGCTGCTCACATATCCAACTACAGATTACGGAACATGTTTAGACCATGTCTACACAAATATGAGTTCAGATCAGATTTCCTGTGCTACATTAGAGTGTTATTACTCAGATCACAAACCCATAGTAGCTTACTTGTAGGAACCATTGCTTTAACCTCTAAATACTGAGTTTGATTGTAGAATCATTAAATTCAATGAGTATGTTTCAGACTTTAGAATTCTTATAGTTAGAATGCAATATGACTTAGGTGTATTTTGTAATGTAGGCATGCAGATTATTAGAATTACTACAATACAAAGCATTGCTCATGTGATATATTATAAATGTATAATATCAATTTACTTTCAGAATGGCACAAAAGACCATTGCTGAAATAGAAGAGATGTCAAGTAGTAGGCCAACTCCTTACTCAGGAAGCTTGATTGCCAAGGTCATAAAGATTGGACATGTTGCAAAATTTAAGAACAGTAATGGAGAAGATGCCGAGCTTATAAACTTTAGCTTGGCTGACAAATCTGGTGCAATTCTAGCAAGTTGTACAGGAAAGGACAGAATGATTCAAGAAGGTAAAACACTTCTTATAAGAGACTTCATCATTAAAAATGGGAAGGTGGCCATGTCTCACAAAACAAAGATAATGGCAAAGGCAAGCATGTCCATTCCAGATTCCGTGGTACAAAGAGCTGTATACCTCATCCTCCCACCTTCCCCACTGAAAAAGATAGAGGAAGTCTTAACATTACCACCAAGAACTATTTCAACAGTACAGGGACAGCTGTCAAAGGTATAGTACAAATTTTAATATAATCATGAGGGTTGATTAAAAAAAATCATGGATTCTTTTCATATTTTATTTCCTTTGTGAAGCTAATATACACAAGAAAATTTTTTTTGCAAGCATACCGTCTCGCGTAATTATACGAAAATACTTTTCTCGCGAATAAAAAGTGATTTACAGTACTCATCCATTATCATTTTTATTCTTGAAACGTGGAATAGGAAAAAAAATCCCACTAAGTCAGTAAGTGGCATATAACATGAGAATTACGGTGTTTGTCAATCTATATGTATTACAATTGCTTGACCTCATATGAATCTTTGTGTTGTTAAAATTTTCAAATATTGTTTGACAAAGACCTATACAGTTAATTCTCGATAAACGGCCACCTTTTGTAATTTAGAAATCGTGGCGGTATAACGAATTTGGCGATGATTTGGATTTCCCATATCTTAGGAAACAAGAAGTAGAGTTACCGTTCTTAGAAATACCATAAAGCGTTTCTATTCTTATAATTACATGTACATGTATACATACAAAACATATTTCTAAATTTTAAAATACTTCAAGTATTTTTTATGTACAATTTCTTTAAAACAAAATGTGCAGTTATGAAATAAAGACATGTACATGTGTGTTTATGTACATGTAAATCGGCACGTCTGATACCACGGTATTGAAAAAAAAACATGCTATAAAATAGTTTCTTGAATAAATTTATTGTTTATGGCATCATTGAAACGTTCAAAATTTATACCGTATAATCATTATTAAGCAAACTTTGCATTGTTTAACAGGGACCAACCTAGACTTAAAATTTAGGGAGACTTCACTTCTCCCTCAGAGAAATTTAGGGAGAAGTTTTAAAATTTAGGGAGACTTCATGGCGCGTGCGACACTCACTGATCATTATAAACTTTTTAAAAATGAAACCATTTCATTGTTTATAACTTAAAAATTTATACATTTCATTAATTTTTTTTGTATTGATATTCTAGTAAAAATTTTACAAAAGAATCTGATTTTTTTTAATTACAAGGTATATTAAGCAAAAAAAAAATAAATAAAAAATAAAAAAAATTTTAAAACAATGACAATTTAATTTTTTTTTTTTTGTTCATTTTGCATAATATGCACAATTAACTTTTTAAATTTATCTTTTCATTTCAAATTTTCAGCCTCATAGCATGATGATAATTTTTTGTTATTTTATCTTCAAAATTTGTTTTTAATATTTTTTTTTATTTCTGAAAAAAGTTTTGATGTGCATGTACTACGTACTGCATGCTGATTGAACTCCGTGTATCAGACGTGTAATTTGTTAGACGGTCAATAACTCCACAGTTTAACAGTAAAAGTATGTCTGTATATTCACAGCATGAATTAATTATTTGGCAAAAAAAAGATTTAAAATCGTCTTCAACATCTTTGGCATGACATCGATAGCTGACCAGCTGTTTTGCGTCTGGTTGTGCATAACTTGTAACAATGGAGTTTTTCATAACCGGAAGTGTAAAATCTAGAGGAGTTCCGACAGAGTCATCGACGCATTGGTCATTGGTAGTGAAACAGGTGCAAGTGTCCTGCTGTTTCGTTTATTCCAGCAGTGATTAAACAAGACTTATAAGCTACTGACGATTCTATCATGTTTCTTGAAAGATTCTTTTATTATTTTCAATAAAGGGGTTGCAAATGTTAAGGCGACTTAAACTTCGCTTTCATGATAAATTACAGCGAAGTTTGGAGCTCCAAAGCGACTATTTCGCCTCAGTCGCCCCCTAGGTTGGTCCTTGGTTTAAAGCAGAGTTCATCAAAATAATTAAGGAATAACTGTCTTATTTTTCGGATTCATGAAGTGATCAATGGATTGGCTTGTGTGATAATTTGCATAAACGCCGAAGGCGTTTATGCATAAAATAATCACACAAGCCAATCCATTGATCATCTTCATAAATTTGAAAATTGACACTTAAAAATGGACGTTTGTTTTGAAAAAAGGATGATGGATGGCGTTATGCGAATTTTATATGGCAGGAAAAATGTTCTTGGGAAATCATGGCGGTATTGCGAAAATGGAGATGAATTGAATGGCGATAATTCGAGAATTGATGGTATTATGAATATGCCTATTGCTTTCTTCAATCAAATCATAATAAAATTTGAGAAAGAAATTCCATTAACTTTTTGATTAACCCTTGTACTTCACCATACCATTCCCCTCATACTTCAGCATAGAATTCTTTTATTTCATTTCAACATCTTCAATTCAATAGCAAATCATATTTGACTCAAATTCAGTATCATGGATATGTAAATGTATTATATTTAGCATGTATGATATTTGACACTGTCTGACACAGAAATTAATTTCTGTAAAAGTCAGTTCACATTTTATTTAGCACATTTTTCAATATTCTTATTTATGTAACTATACATAATGTGTACACATAAGACTAAGCATTGTACCGTATAAGCAGAAGTTCCGTCTTTCAAAATCACTAAACTCATATATAATGATATCTCAACCTTGATATCTTGAAATAAGAGACATCTAGATTTACAAATGTTCATAGGCCTCAATAATTTTGAAATAATATTAAAAATTTGACTGCGCAGGCAACGAAATTCTGATTCAATTATTTTTAGAATAAAACTTTCTCAGTGTATTATTAGAGTAGCATATAACCATGCAAAAATTTCATGTTGGTAGAACATGCAAAAAACATGTATTTTATATTTAATGTTATGTAAAGTAAACATCACAAAAAAAATCTACTTTAAAGCATGTTAATCCTTAGGCCTAAAAAAAAAATTTCTTTGTTTCCTGTAACCCGACCGACCCATTCAAATTATCCCTGGGTGGATTTTTTTATGGCAAACGGCAAAACTTCATTTGATCAATCAGCTGATTCCATTTATTAAATTTTAAAAAATAGCTTGTAGACATAAAATATGTCAACTTAGTGTACATGTACCTTAAATATAAAGAGTAATCATTATTGTAACAAAAGTTTCCCCCTACAACTTTCTGAAGTTCGTTTTCTGCGGCTTGGCAGCCATTTCGGATGCCATATTGGGTGTCCACTGTAAATATAACACGTAGTATTTTCTGTCCGGGGATGTTTGACCATTCATAATAAAAAAAAAAAAATTCCGACTTACCGACCCTTGATTGTTACAGGAAACAAACTTTTTTTTAAGCCTTACAATAATATGAACACATTCTGAAATGTTACATAATTAAGTAAGTCAACAATTTCAATTTATTTTGACAGATTGAATCTACTAGAACTGTGAAAGTGAGTGGTTCAGACACCGTCATCAGGACAATAAGCTTACAAGAAGATGGTAAAAAGATCGACGTAACCCTGTGGCGTGATATGGCTGAAGAAGATCTGAAAATAGGCCAGTATTTGTCCATATCACACTGTATGGTAAATGAATGGCAGTCGCAAAAGACTCTGAACACTACAAGAAACTCCCAAGTACAGGTACACAACATTCAACTTCATTTTAATCCATGTTCATTACCCAAGTATGTAACAATGTAATGAACAAAGTTCAATTACAATGTAAATTGAATATTTGGCATCATCACAATTGTAATGCGAGTAATCAGTGAAGGTTATAAGTAAATGGTTTAATCATTCATGAAAGTACGCAGGAATTTTTTTAATTTGTTATCAATGGTAGGTAGTATGTGTATCAAAAAAATTACTACAGGTAGTAAATGTGTGAAAATCAGTCTTTATTATGAACTTCTTTGTTTCTATGCTAATTTGTTGCAAACCTACAAATTAGAATTCATCCTTTTATTATCACACTGTATTTTAAAATTTGTAGATCATTCAGCCCCTGACAACAACTGTGAAGGGTTTTATAGAGGCACTGACAATCGGTGATGTGACAGTGGAGATTGCAGTCAAAGAGAATCTGAAAGACGAGTACAAAGATTATACAGTTGACTTGGCCCTCTTGAGAACACTTCTTCCTGACACCAACGATGTCGCAAATGAACATCTGGAAGACTACCTTCTTGAAAAACTTCCTATTGAGATACAACTAATTGCTCAAGGGTCAAATGTGCAACATATGAAACTAATTGAACCAGAAAGAGACATGGATTATTCCATTGAGCTATAGAGCAATTTGATGATTTCTCTGAAAAAAACGTGTTGTGTAAAAAAGAAAATGTCCGTCTTTAACACACACCAATTTCAGTTTAGCGGTACTTCCAGCATTATTTTTGGTGCATTTTTACTTCCATATATCTTTTTACTATTCTCTGCAACATTACTTTATGAGAGGTGACTTCCTAGTAATTAGCATGCTTAAGTGTCTGAAACATTTTCCGTTTTTATGTACATTTAGTACGGACTGTACGGTAATATTTTTGTATATAAATCTTTCTTTTGCAGCTTTTTTCCTGATTAGTTTGTCCCTTTTTTTCCACTCATTGTCTATAAGTTTTGTGTTAGGCATGTGTATATTAAGTATATTTATCATGTTAATAGGAAGGTAAACCTTTCAGCATTGCTGTGACCCTTTCCATGGGCAAACAACTTGTAAATGTATTCTTGGTTCTGGAAAATTGTTTTCATTATATACATGTTGTCTGAATTTCTCTATTATAAAACATGATTAGCTTTCTCAGATTTGAAATGGTCTTGTATTTAAGCTGTAATCTTGTGCTGTTTGCTTGAAATACTTTGACATCATTATGTACATGAAGTTATATTATTGTTTGATTTTACACAAGTACAGTGTATATTAATTTATAGCAGTTGTTCCTTTAAGTTTTATATTGACTAATTCTCAATATTCATCTGTAAACCTTTGTCGATACTCTGGTAGATTCTTTCTTATAGTGTTTTTAGATCAAGTAGTCTTTATTATGCCTAAAGGGATGTATGTCCGCTTGTCTCTTGTGGACACTGCTTCAACTGTAAAATACACACCTGTACATCTATGTAGGAATTGTTTATTTATGGATTTACGACACATTTTTAGGACTAAAAGGTACATGTATGAAAGAAGTTTATTATCAGGTCAAAATAGTTTTGCAATCAGACAGCACAATTTAACAGTTAACCTTATATTTCAGTAAAATATAATTTCATTCTCACTTGAATTTCCATGCAGTGCAAATAAATTCCCCTATATACATTGTAAAACATCTATACAAAATCTTTATTCAGTATTGGAACATGTAATTTATAAGCATTATAA